TATCGCTATTATAAATGGCTACCGCATAAATCAAACTTATGATTGGCCATTTGACGCCATTTTTAATATTTTTTAGTACTTTTGCGATACTGCCATAAGCCGGTCGCGCTTCTCTGATAATCTAGGACTCTAGCAGGACCCTGCCGTATTGCGAGCTGTGCGAACTGCCCTTAAGAGTTATGGCAGATGTCGTATATACAGGCCTGTGGTATAGGCTGGCGACCATTTTTGTGAGATCGCCGTTTGTCTTACGGGGTATTTTGTGCGAGGAGTCGAACGGTGTGCCGACATAAAGGCTACAGCACGTGGCGGATCACAACGAGAGCCCGAGGCAAAGATAAGGGACTAACTCCGACTTGGTCGATCGGAGAGACGTCCGCAAACGCACGTGCGGGTCGCGCGAGAACATGTCGCCGATGGTTCGCTCCCACGAGACTATGCTGTGCGACGAGGAACGTCCGACAGTGGAATGATAACTCCCTCCCTCCTTCAGCTCCTTCCCCTTGTTCGGGAGTAAAGAGTGATCCTCGCGTGTTCCGCCCTCGTAGGATCCCCACCGTGGAGGATACATGCTCGTGTTTTCCCGGTGGCCGGCTGTAAAGTCCCGGCGGCGGTAGACGCCGAGGTAGTTCGCGCGATCGCTTTACTATCATTACTATGCGGCAGCTCAGAATCCCTCTCTCTCGTTCCCTCCCCAACGGACGTGCCGCCCCGTGATATATTATAATTGACAATTGACGAAGGAAGAAGCTGTCGTCTCGCTCTTGGACCCCCTCCTCCCTCCTCGGATCGACCGCGACAATGGCTGCGACCTTCGATCAGTATGACAAGTCGAGGTACGTGCGGGAAAATTCCCATGTTTTGATTCACCGAGCAGGCGTCGTGCCCGCATTAAGTATTATTGGCGTACTTAATGGCGTTTGAAAATTGCGGCCGCGCGTCACGTAATTGTAACATAACGTGTGCTCCCTGCGTTTAATCGGACTCCCGCAAAAACGGTGCAATTATCGTCCGGACGTATTGGTTGGATCTCGGAGCACTGGATAAATCGTCACTGGTCCGTGCGATACGAGGCATAGCTCGCGCTTTCAAGTGTTAACGTGTTCACTTCACGTGGACGAGGCCAAGTAGAAATTTTCAAATTTGTTCGGGTGTTTCCTAGGTATTTTTCCTAGGTTTTCAATCTTGTGGAACAATTATGTTTTAACGCGTTGAATGTTCTTGCGTCTCAACAACTAGTTAAAGTTGATTAGGTTTACACAGGGCCTTTCTCCTCTTCCTCTCTTATATTTTTGTCCTATAAAAGAAATAGAAACTTAGCTTATTATATTCAATTGCTTTAAACTTTAATATTTAAGAACAGTGTGTTATGTCAAGTGTGCTCCCCATGTTTGTGTGTTTCATCTTTTTCCATTTGTTTTCCCTGAGATTTATCTTTTTTTTTCTTTCTAAAAAATTATGTCTATGCTACAATTAATTATAAATGTTTGATTCTTTTTAGCTGGTACTTTGGTGCTATGTCACGGCAGGACGCATCTGACTTATTGATGGGTGAGAAAGAGGGTGGTGTATTTTTAGTGCGAGACAGTACCTCGATACATGGCGATTTTGTGCTGTGCGTAAGGGAGGATAGTAAAGTTAGCCACTATATTATCAATAAAATCCAACAAGGAGATCAAATTCGTTATCGGATTGGAGATCAGATGTTTCCAGATATTCCCAGTCTTCTCGCCTTTTATAAACTTCACTACTTAGATACCACGCCGTTAATTAGGCCGGCACCAAAGAAAACACAGAGGGTAATTGCCAAGTATGATTTCGAAGGCAATGATTCTGAGGACTTACCCTTTAGAAAAGGTACTTAATTCCTTAACAATCCAATTAATTTGTTTCAGTTTCTTTTTCTATATAGTTGTATTAATGTGAAATACTCCTGCAATTTAGGTGATATACTCACTGTAATATCAAAAGACGAGGAACAATGGTGGACAGCTAGAAATAGTGTCGGTCAAACTGGTTCGATACCGGTGCCGTACGTTCAGAAGTACGACGACGATAGTCATATGATAATAGAAAACAACTCGCGGCCTGAAAGCGGCGGCAGCTCCGGCTCCAACTCGAATTCAGGGCCTACGTCGCAGGTGCCTCACACAGAGACGACGGGACAGGCGACCGTAACGCGAAGATCGAACATTCAGAGAACACTGCCAGCCTTTGCCAAAGTGAAACAGGCGAGGGTGCCGAACGCGTACGATAAAACTGCGCTAAAATTAGAAGTAGGTGATATGATAAAAGTGACAAAGACTAATATCAATGGCCAGTGGGAAGGTGAATTGCACGGCAAGGTCGGTCACTTCCCATTTACGCATGTGGAATTTGTAGATAATGAGACTGGTGAAGACAATCAGGAGATTTAACAGGAGAAAAATTCTCCGAGTGTGTGATGTGCACCCCACATGTATGACACAAAGGGAAGAAAGACGCCTCTTGTATTATCAAAATTTAGAGTTACTAATAACATATATTATATGTGCCATTTCAAAGATGTGTGTTTAGCCTGAACAACTGTACTGACTCCCAAATGTGCTTTATCTAACATACTATTATTATTGAGAATAAACCCCACATTCTTGTGCAATATGTCGTAGGAAATGTTTAAAGATTTGTGTATCTCTGCAGTATGTTAATTTAGTCACACATCTCATTATTCATCATTTTTATATTATACATGCTAATTACCCAAAGCACAAGCATAATTTTATTAAGTTATTAGATATATAATACAAAGTACACACATTAATCGTATGTATTAATACGATTTTATTAAAAGCATGTTTTTTTCAAAAGTACACACATTAATCATATGTATTAATACGATTTTATTTAATTAAAAGCATGTTTTGTCTCAGTAAAATAATGGACAAAATGATTTTTGTAAAAAAATACAGTATTTATTATAAAATATACTCTAATGGTTATTATAAAATATACTCTAATGGTTTTTTTTTACAGTTATTTATATATGTAGCTGTCCTGTTACATATATATATATATATATATATATATATATATATATTTACTCTATATTTTTCTTATATAGATATTAATATAGTGCACTAGTTTAACATTCACATATGTATAAGTTTTTATTGTTAGGAATTTATTAGTGCTCGAGACGAATGTTTGTTTGGTGAACATGCACAGTTCTTCGTTTATACTCAACGACCTCTTATTTTGGATTTTGTTGATTTTATAGATTATATATATATATATATATATATATATATATATATATATATGTGTGTGTATGTATAAAATTAATAAACGTATATTAGTGATAAACGTAATTTATCACTTTTATTTAAGAATATTATGGAAAAAAGCATGTATGCGCTCCTTAAACATTTTTGTTTTATTAGTAAATACAATTATATTTCTAAAGTTGTGGAATAGTATATTTTGCATTGAATATGCGATAATATCTTCTAGTCATAAGTGACTATGATAAAAGCATACTGTATATATATATATATATATATATATATATACTCGCTTGACATTTTATTTTATATATATGTATATATACATACTATCATTATTACTCTCGAAAGTATGTCCGAAGATATCGAAATATTTTGAAACAAGTACAGTTGTTCTGCAGGGGTTACAAAACCTTGATGTCATGGTACATACAATATCTGTTAGCCATAGGTTGTGCCACCAATTGGAGCAACACATTGTGCTAGAAAGTTGTATATTTATATATAATGATGGAAAGGTTAATTGTGTCTATCAAAAAGTTGATCATAGTTATGCAGCAGGATACTTTATGATTATTGAGAATTATTTTAACAGCAGAGTCTTAATTGAAATATTGCGTTTTCAATTTATCAAATTCTAATAATAAATCGATTCTAAAATTGTCATAGTATTAACAATTGAAGTACTACTGCTATTAAAATAATGAAACACTTGCGGGTCTCTATCGGGATTATACAATAAATTCTCTTATGTATATGTAACACATGCTATGCTTAAAAAGGACAAAGCAGATTTGTGTGACTATTGATTATATATATTCATTGTTTTACTATATTTTTGCAATATATATTTTACATCGTGAAACGTAATATATTATATTATCATGTGTCATATGTGTGTCACTCGGTTTTTTAATTTACATATGCATTTGACATTTCCATCATCATTATCATTATCGTCACCATTACCATCATCGTCATCACCATGTAATCACAAGTTGCATCAGTTTTTCCATAATCTTCCTAAAATTGCGCGCAGTATTAAGATAAACAAAAAGTGGAAGTATTCCATATCAATAAATACGTTTAGGCAAGATTATTCTCTTCCGTTTAATGTTTAGACATACGGTAAACTATAAAATGGTCCAGTTTATATATATATATATATATATATATATATATATATATATATATACACATATATATTTTTGTCAGTTTTGATATGTGTAGTAAGGCAAGCTGGATAACAGGCAGTTTTCTTTGGCAGCATTATGAAGATTGAGCCGTATATATGTATAAGATGAGACAAGGTCTGGAATGTGCCATTATGTATATTTTATCTTTAATTACCAATATTCCAATGACAGATGGTGCTTAAATGGATTTCGCAGCATAAGACAGTATATAGTGATATCAACATACAAATAAATTTAAATATTAAGTGATTTTTATACATATATTTTCACAGAATAGTTTTATTTGATTGTTATGAATATTAATTCCAAAAATTTCTATTATAAACTTGGTCAATTGTCAAGTGAAACAAAAAGGAGGTCACGGTTATAATATAAATTACTTGGAGCACATTTTCACACGCATGACCCATCAAATCACGAATTCATTTGTACTACGTACGACATATACAGATGAGATAAATTTAAATATGGCAAGGATATAATAATGTATATTTTTCTAAGCGTATGCACATATTTTTTTGGTTTTCCTGATAATGAACCGATTTCATAAATAAAATACGATAATAAAAGATACGATAAGATTAATAATCATTTAGATAAATATATATTTGTGTTGTAATTTATAATAAATTGTAATAATGTAACGTTCGATTATAGCATACAATAATAAATGATTACGTATGTAGATAACCGCTGGTTCATTAATTTCTACGATTGCATTAGTTGTTTAGAGATGTATAGAGATTTTCAGACGATCATACTTTCAGAATTTAATTCAGAAAAAATAAATCGAGCTCGAAAAATATAGCCTTTATTGCAGAAATATTCTGTAAAAGGCAAGACTTATATTATCTGTTTTACAATATCTGCATTTATTTCAAACTATACAATGTTAAAAGCACAGTATATAACAGCTGATTTAATGTAATTTTAAAAAAGAAGTAGACACGCTATCGTGCCAATTGTGTAATTAATGCTGCACACATTTCGAAAAATTCCATTGTGTGATGGCCTGTTGCTTGCGGAGGCGGCAATGTTGGATCTAAAAGAATATATATATATATATATATATATATATATATACACATATATTTTTTATACATAAATTATGTTTATGTATTTAATCAGTAAATCAAATATATACATATATTGAAAGACTTAATTTACCTCGTCCAATGTCCTCTTCTTCGCTGGATAAGGATTTGAAGTCTAATAAATAACTTTTATGATCGACTTGGTATAATTGTAATGACATCTTGCTATACCTATCGGTCAATTGGTTTTTATGCCTTACCCTAACGCTATACGTATTTACAATCTTCCATTCCTGAAAAGGACAATTTGCGTAATGTTAGCGGTATTTAGTTTGGAGAATACAACTCTGGGCGATTATTCTTACAAAATTGAGCGCTTTCATAGCACGATAAACTTCATTCATAATGTCATTGGGTTTGGATTGTGATCTAATTCCTAAATGCCATTTCGCCCTTTTCACAGGAGTACCGCGATTGCCTTGCATCTGTGCAGCAGGTGCGCTGCCTTGCGAACCTTGACGTTCGCGATATGCTGTAACATTGTCATTACAAGTCATACAGTCATGTAGGGTACAACGGAAGTACAAAGGGGGTGGCTAAAATATTTTTTTTGTAATCTCTACAGATTTATTTTCATACGAGATACGTTAGATACGAGGATTCAGATAACTGAGTCACATTTCATTCAACTTTTTTACATACGTGCAATTCTTTCTGGATGAGGCCTCAATGGACTGCTGTTCGCCTCGTTTGGGCTGAACGCTACGGGCGGAGGACTAGATGCCACATAAAAATCTTTTAATTCCGCCTTGGCAGCTTCATCCGCGATTCTCTTATTGTCTATGATCAAGTGATAAGCGATCGCCAATTGATCATGTGGATCGCCGCCCAATAGCGCGGAATGCACTTCTGGCTCCTTCACATTAAATTTCTCGCATACTTCGTTTACAGCGTCTATGTCGATAACTGAAGAATCTTGTTCGACTGGTGATGGAAATAAGTACGACGGTAAATCCTTTTGGAACCACTCGTGTTTTCTGAAATTGTGAAAAACATGCGACACACCAGTGATAACACAGTATTAACTCGGAATGTTTCGAGAAAGAAATATATATCATTCAACTTGAGTACTTAATATCTTCGATAGTCGCTCTCTTCATTGGGTCCACTTGCAACATGTGGCACAGGAGGCTAACAACACTCTTGTTCAAATATTCCGGAATGGGAAAGACACCGGCTAAAAGAAGAGAGAGTCCAATTAGTTTTAGCTGCCTTTGAAAAATCAACATCTGGCATACGCACGCTGGATGTTGATATATATACATACGCATTGATATTTCTCTTTGAGCAGAACATTTATGTGACTTACATTTAATCTTACGGAAGAGAGTAGGAACATGTTCGTCGTCGAATGGCAAGGTACCACAGAGTAGCGCGTACAATATAACGCCGCATGACCAAATATCGACTTCGGGGCCGGCGTATAATTTACCGGATATCACTTCTGGCGCAGCGTAATTCGGCGAGCCGCACGAGGTACGTAAGAACTCACCGTCCATCATCATGTTCGACAGACCTACATTTTCGTACAAGAACATTTTATCATCTATCGCGTAACGGGGAAAGACTATATGTCTATACGGCATATATGTATAATATGCCAATTATATCCAAGTACCAAAGTCTGCGATTTTCACGTGGAGATTGTGATCTAACAGAAGGTTTTCTGGCTTTAAATCACGATGCACTATCATATGCCGATGGCAATAATCGACGCCTGATATGATCTGTTGGAAAAATCGTCGCGCCTCATATTCCTTAAGCTTGCCGTGTTTAACAATATAATCGAACAGCTCTCCTCCCGAGACGTATTCCATTATCATAAATATATCTGTAGGAGTGCTTATCACCTGATATCTGTTTATGTAAAATATACATTAAGGATTGTTTAAAAGAAGATGTTATACTAAATATATATAGAAAATAAACATGCATCTATTATATGTACATTAACATCTTGTTTGAATCAAATTGCCTCTCTCTCTCTCTCTCTGTTTAAAACTAAATTCTTCTAAATTTATTTTTTAATTTATTATTTTTAAAACAGTAGCTGATAATTCATACATACTTTGAGATTTTTATTATACGTGTATGAACAAAAATACAAATCCCTACGATTAATTAATACTTACAGCTTAATGATATGAGGATGTCTGAAGAGCTTGAGATTTTGTATTTCTCTGCGAATTTTGCCCACGACATCTAGGCTCTTGATTTTTTGGCGATTCAAAATCTTCACAGCAACTTTGTGTTTTGTTAAAACATGCTCCCCAACTAGAAATGAGAAAGCATATAATTTTAGGTAATAGTATTAGTTAGATAGAGTGAGACTTTTATACTGTATTATGTACACACGTACTTTTGACTTTACCAAATGTACCCACACCTAAAGTTTGGCCTAGCGTATAGTGGCCTATCTTAACAATGGGCTGCGGTTGAT